TAAATAAATAAATAAAAACACATTTCCAAGTTCTGGTTTCTAAACCCGAGTCCCTCAACCGCATCCCTCTTTGAAACACCAACGGTGCTTCCGTTTGTACAAAAACCCCAAAACACATAAATAAATAAATAAAAACACATTTCCAAGTTCTGGTTTCTAAACCCGAGTCCCTCGACCGCATCCCTCTTTGAAACACCAACGGTGCTTCCGTTTGTACACAAACCCAAAAACACAACCCCCATTAGGACGTTGTGTGTCTGGTGTGCTGGCTTTTCTCATACAGAGCATTTTCAAATCATTTCTCTCGGACTACAACTCCCATTATCTCCCAGCCCAAGGGGCCATGGCTGGAGATTCTGGGGCTTGTAGTCCAAAAGAGAAAAAAAAGATAAAGTTCCACAGCTCTGGCTATTCTTTAGTACGGAAGACCACAGGCTGTCCTCAGACCAGGGGAACGTACTTTCCTGGACTACAAGTCCCAGCATCCCCCAGCTAGCAGGCACACAGGAGGATACGGGGAATCCTACTCCCCCAAAAAACAGTCTTTTTCCACCTCTGGTTCTTCCTGTAAACCAGCTGTCATTTCGATCGATCGATCGATCGATCAATCAATCAATCAATCAATCAATCAACCAATCAATCAATCAATCCTTGCTTTTAATTTTCCTGAGCTGGCCTACGCCCCAGAAATGTCTAGGTAAGAGGCACAGACAAATAAGATTTCCACCTTGGGGAAACTCCGGGATCGGAAAGAGCCGACGCCTCGTCAGGAGCATCGCGCCAGTTTTCCCCCCTCTTCCCCGACCCATCGCCGTACCTGTGGGTCCCAACACCTTCACATCCAGCGGCGCCAGCCCGGCTTTGCTGCAGTCCACCGTGAAGGTCTGCGGGACACGCGCTCTCACACCAGCCCCCAGCCCGGGGCCAGAGCACTTCACCTTGCTGGGATCCACCACGTCCTTGACAGGAACGCGGAAGGGGCTCCCTGTGGAAGGATGAGAACGCCGTTGGGTAAAAGCCCCTCCCTTGAGATTCACGGACTTCTAGGTCCTAGGCCACCCTAACCCTCACCCCACCCCACTCCTCTTTGTGAGTGGATTCTTTCAGAATTTGGAAACCCTAACATACTGTATTTTCCATGTATAAGATGTCCCCATGTATAAGGTGCCCCCCACACTTTTCTAACCAAAAATTGAGAAATTTAAGTGGGGCTTAGCAAATGTAGGGTAAAAAAGATCAAAGAGCTGCAGGATGGCTTTGATCCCTGTTTTCTCCCTTTGTGCTAAGCCCCGCGTGGCTTAGCAAAAGGAGGGGGAAAGGGATCAAAGCAATTCCATGACTGCACAATCATTTTGATCCCTTTCCCCCTTATACAGCCACGGGATTGGTTGATTCTTCCCCCCTCCTTTTGCTAAACCCCATGGGACTTAGCAAGCAGAGGGGAAAGCAGGGATCAAAGCGATCCTGCAGCACTTTGATCCCTGCTTGCCTTTTGTTAAGGCTTAGCAAGTGGAGGGGATCGCTTTGATCCCTGCTTTCCCCTCCACTTGTGTTTTTTCTCTCCTCAGCTTACTTCCATGTATAAAATGACCCTAAATTTTTAGTCTAAAGATTTTAGACAAAAGTATAGTCTTATACACAGAAAATACGTGTATATAGCCCTCCACATGTATATATAGCCCTCCATATTTTCCAGAAGGAGCCCATTGTCTCCTCTCCACTTAAAATCGTGTCCTTATTTTCCCTCCTCTGGGTTTCCCTAGTCTTGAGGGCTGCAAGCTGAGCGTGCAGCTCTCCAGGAAAAAGCTGGCAGAGCAAAAATGATCCGGGGACAGGAGGCGAGGGAATGGATTTGTTAAGTTGTTTGCTTTAGAACGGTGGAGTCGGAAGGGGCCTCTGAGGCCATCAAATCCAACTCTTTGCTCAAGGCAAGAATCCAAGCCAAAGGAAATCGGACAGATGGTTGTCTAAATTTTTTTTGCCATGTTATATCTCCTTCTCTTATGTCACAAAGCCAGATTTCAGCAGAATGCCAGGAAAAACATCCCGACTGTTAGAGCCGCACAACAACAGATCTAATGACCCTGGGAATTGAGCCAGATTTCAGCAGAATGCCAGGAAAAACGTCCCGACTGTTAGAGCCACACAACAACAGATCTAATGACCTCGGGAATTGATGAGCGCTCTAGCGCGCGCTCCAGCGCGGGAGGCCTTCAAGAGAAAGCGGGAACCACCCTCTGTCCGATCTGATTTGGATTCCTGCCTTGAGCAGAGGGTTGGACTGGATGGCCCTTTCCAACTACATGATTCTGACTGAATATCCAGCTTTAGGTAAGCCATGAAATTTATTTAGAGTCTCATTAGCGTCATAATGCTTGATGTCAGGAGCCAAGCAAGGTTGCAGGTGGTGAGTATTTGGAGGTCTCTTAAGTGGGCCTGTCCGTCCATTGCTGCCAGTCGAGAAGTGACCAGCCCAGCCTACTGGGTAGACCTCCTCAATCACTCCATAACAAAGCCTTCTCCGTCCCTGGACACCTCCTGGAAGCCCATGGAGACCAAGCCCTCCCCAACCGCCCTCCATCCTTTCCACCTACCGGGGATGGGGCGCCCCCCGAAGGTGATGTTGACGTCATAGTCGCCCGGCGTGAAGGGGATGTACTCTACGCTGCAGCTTCCGTCCTTGTTGTCCTTGCAGGACATTTTGGCCTCCGACGGGCCTTCGATGGCCAAGCCAAGACCCCCGGTCCCTGCGCCCCTGCCGGGGAAAAGAGGGCACCATATCGTCAGACGGAGCCCTCCCCGACCCAGAGCCTGCAAAGGAGAAATCCTTTCCCATTTCCAGGGAAGTAGGAAATCTACCAAACACCGACCTCTCCCATCCAGCCCAGGAACACGGAAAGAGCTGGCAAGAGCCAATATCGGAGAGGGTGGCCCAGATCCAGGAAAGTGGTCGCCCGCCAAGAGCACACAAAAACTGTCTCCAGGTGAACCAGTCAGTCTGGTGGGACATGGAACAACGTCCGGTGTTTCCCTGTCTTTTCCTTATTTTTTTTTCCCTTTACAGGGGCCGTACCTCCGGTCTTTTATCTCCTGAACCCTCCCAGCCCCCAAGGCCAGGCCTTGCCCTTTCCCAGCCCTCATGTCAGCCTCTTCCAGCTACACCGGCCAGCAGAGGGGCTGGGCTGCCAACAGGCAGGCAGGTTCACCTAAGGTTCCTGCCATATTTGAAGGCGCTTCCCCCCCCCGGTACACTCAGAGGGTTCTCAGACACGGGGGGCGCCAGCCTTCCGAAAGCCCATGGATCCTGCCATATTTGAAGGCGCTCCCCCCCTCCCCAGTACACTCAGAGGGTTCTCAAACACGGGGGGGGGGCAGCTTTCCGAAAGCCCATGGGTGAAGGACCTATGAGCTATGTCCTAGGATTTCCCTGAGGCTAACGGCACAGCGGTCAAGGAAGTGACCAACCGCCGCCAGCTGCCTTCCGGAACCCTTGGACCACGGAGCTTCAGGAGACTCAGCCCAAGGGGGGGCACAAAACGCATGGCGCCCTTTCCACCTTTCTCTCTTGGCCCATGGGTGGGCAGGACACAACCCAGCGGCTGGACACGGCACTTCTCAGGGGCCTGTGGGGGTTTTGGAGCCCCACCACATCCAGCAGTAGAACGGTTCAGAAGTGACACATTTCAACGCTCAAGCAAGGCATACGACACCTCGGACACGTTGTTCAGACCTGTGCTTTTGAGAAAGCAGAAGTAGGGCTGCCCCCCCCGCCCTTTTGGGTCCCTGTCTGGTCTTCACCCAGGGCCCGTAACTCCCACCCGTGGCGCTCAAGTGGCCCACCCCTGTCTTCGCTGATTAACTGCCACCGAATCGGTTCAGCCCTGGAGACAAAGAGCGGGCGCCTACCTGGTTTCCACGGTGAATCGGTTCGATTTGTTCACTAGTCCGCCCTCAAGTCCAGGGCCGTAAGCCCGGACGCGGCTCGGATCGCAGCCCTCGGTGACGCCCACCCGGAAGGGGCTCTTGGGGACCGGCACGTCGTCGTAGGTCACCTCCACGAGGTGCACCCCTGAGAGGGTCAGCGGAGAGACAGAGAGACGGTCAGCGGCATGGCATCCCCTCCCGCTGAACTGGTCAGCCCCCATCCCCTGGCAGAGCCCACCTGGCCTCCTTTACACCCCTCCATCCCTGTAAACCCTCAGCCTAACCCCTGGCCGGAGAGCCCACCACCTTCTGCTCTATTACACCCACAGACAAACTCAGAATCTTCAGCATGCTTGTTTTTTCTATTTTGTTCTAAACGACTCTTTAGCCGAAGGGCGTAAAGGCATTCGGGACGGCAGCTGCCAAGACCCCAGAACCGAGAGAAGGCAACAGGAAGGACTGCCGCCCTATTCTGCCCTCTCGGCGCTGGCCTCTCCCCGGAACGGGAGGAAGCACAGTCGGTGCCAGAAGGAAAGGGATGTACAGGCATGCTGGGTTTGCAGCTTGTAGGATCCTAACAGAGAGAGCTCAAACCCCCTAAGAAAGCCACCTCTGAGAATGGCACTTTGGGGCTTCCCTACCTCCGTGGCTCATTTGGATTTTGGAGCGGGAAGAGGTGCATGCTGGGTTTGCAGCTTGTAGGATCCTGGCAGAGAGAGCTCAGACCCTCTAAGAAGCCACTCCTGAGAATGGCACTTTGGGGTTTCCCTACCTCCATGGCTCATTTGGATTCTGGAGAGGGAAGAGGTTTGCCCCATGCCTGTAAGTGGTGAGGGGGAGGGAATGGGGTCGGGAAACAGAGAAGCCAGGAAGACCGTTTCCGGGTGGTGGTGGATGTCTTACCATCCTCGAAGGGGGTGTATTGTACGCGGTAAGTGCCATCCCCATTGTCGGTGATGTACGTTTCTGTCTTGGCCCCCGAGGGGTTGATGACGCGCACCTTGATGTGGCTGCCCCCCGTCTTGGTCAGAGAGCGCGCATCAATGGTGAACTCGGTGGTGACCTCACGCAGGACACCTGAGGGGAAGACAGGGGCAATGAGATTTTTCACGACCAGCTGGTCTCTGTACTCTCTAACTTTTTCAGGGGTGACATGAGGGAATGGAAAGAAAAGTACTTTTTTAAAAAAAAATCTGACTTGTTAAAGCCACCAGAAAAGAGGAAAGAGAGAACAGTAAGGGAATATTTCTAGGCCTCCTTAATGGGAGAAAGGCAGCCTATAAAGAAAACAAACAAACAAATAAATAAAACAAATAAATGTAAACTAACAGTGGGGCAATAGATGAACAGACTATAAATACTCTGGCAGACAAAGAATTGATGTAGAACAAAATAAATGTTTTAACACGAAAGAATAATGCAATTTAGAAATGATGAAATTAGATCAGAGCCTTGGCTACAATCCAGTAGTAAGTCGCAACTAGAGTAGATCTATTGAATCAATGGAACTTCCCAGGTCTTCACTGTTTCAGTGGGTTTGCTCTAGTTGTGACTTACCACTGGATTTCAGCCATAGATTAATAAGACTAAAAATAGAGGCCTAAATCTTACAAGTCAAACATTGGGTTGTAAGTAGAGTAGACCCACTGAACCGATGGATGGATGGGTTCATTTTGTTTGTTTGTTTGTTCTGCTCTTCTTGGAACGATCAATACTTTTCATCGATTCCAGTTAGAGATGGGGACGAAGCGAACCCACGAAGCAAAAACCTCTACGAATCGGGCCATGTTGTGGTTTGTTTGGGGGCACTTTGGGGAAACACACCTGCTTAGAACGAAGCCCAATTACTATCAATTTTGGTCATGTGTATGCTTCTTTTCTGGGTACATTGTCACCGGCCAGACGGCCTGGTGCCCCTCCGTCCATTCCCCAGGCAACGCTGGGGTGGACCGAGAGCAAACTTTGTGCAGGGTTGATTGTCTGCCATGGAGACCCAAGTCCACTCTCTGCGAGTAGCTGGTTATAAGGGGCATACCCTGGGCAGCTCAGCTGGCGTGAGAAGAGGATGCTTAGCTAGCTAGTCCTTTCCTCCTTCCCCCTCCCTGTTCCCTCCCCAGTCCAGCCCATACTGAGCCAAACCCTGTCTCAAGTTCCCTTGCATGAACCGCTCCTTTAATTTCCTCCAAGGGAGCAGCTACGGGGACGTGATGGCGCTGCAGGTTAAACCGCCAAAGCCTCTGGGCTGCAAGGTCGGAAGACCAGCCATTGTAAGATCGAATCCACACGACAGAGTGAGCGCCCGTCACTTGTCCCAGCTCCTGCCAACCTAGCAGTTCGAAAGCATGTAAAAATGCGAGGAGATCAATAGGGACCACCTCGGTGGGAAGGTCACAGTGTTCCGTGTCTAGTGGCACCGGCCACATGACCACAGAAACTGTCTATGGACAAACGCTGGCTCTATGGCTTGGAGACGGGGATGAACACCGCGCCCTAGTGTTGGACACAACTTGACTAAAATGTCAAAGGAAACTTTTACTTTTAAGGCAGTTGCTACAGAGCACTTTCCTGGGGGAACCTATTTCAGGGGGCTCTAACTTGGACATCCAAAATCCCCACTTTGCCAAACTTGGCAGAGGTGGGGAGGAAAGTCAACTGAGGACCCTCAGTGAGTTTGGGGTGTCTACCTCATGCAGGGGCCACTCCACCCCTCCCAGAGGTCTCAGATCACACAAACCATGAAAGGTTTGTGGTTTGTGACAAGCCATAAACTGCAAACCACCTTTTTCCCAGGTCTTTGCCCATCTCTGACCCTCCCATTTCCATGAGGTCTTTCTCTCTCTCCTCCGCCTATAGGCTCTGAACTCTTCCTCTCTGCCTAATTTGGTATTTCCTCCAAAGGACAAGTGAACCGGGAAGAGCCGAGGGAAGAGCCGAGGGAAGAGCCGAGGGGCCTCGCTCCACCACCACCTACCTCGTGGTTCCACTCCAGGCCCAAAGACCTTGACGTTGCTGGTGTCCACAGCAGGATCCACGTTGACCCGGGCGGGGAATTTGGGCACGGCGTGCCCGCCATATTTAATGGTGATGGTGTAGGTGCCGGGAAAGGAGGGGATGTAGGTGATGGTGTAGGTCCCGTCGCTGTTGTTCTGGATCACCACCTCAGCCTTGACCCCCGAATCGGAGATGATCTCAATGGTGAGCTCGGCGTCGCCCGCCTTGGAGCAGTCGACCATGAAGGTCGCCACCTCGCCCACCTTGCCGCGCTCCAGGCCGGGGCCGCTGGCGGTCACCTTGGACGGATCGAAGACGGGCTTGATGTCGGCCTTGAAGGGGGAGCCGGGGATGTGAGATTCAGCGAAGAGGATGTTGATGGCATATTCCCCAGGCTCGGTGGGCAGGTAAGACACGGAGCAGGACCCGTCGCCGTTGTCCTGGCACTCGATCTTGGCCTCACAGGGGCCCTCCACCGTCAAGCCCAGCCCGCCGGTCCCAGCTCCCTTGGTGTCGATGGTGAAAGGCGCAGGCTTGCCCACGAAGCCGCCCTTCAGTCCCGGCCCGTAGGCGCAGACCTGAAAAAGAAGCAGGAAATGGACATCTGGTTCCCGTACATTAACTCCCTCACGCTGAGGGTCTGTAACACAGCATTATGACCTAAAACACGTCTGTTTCTCCTAGCATTGTCTTCCCTCAGCTCCACATTGTTTCCAATCAGATTCCTTTTGCTTTGGGATTGCCACTTGGGGAGACAAGCCAGGGCTTCACACGCACAAGTCGATTGCTCAGCCATGGAGCTTTGAAGGAATTACATCCCTGCAGGAAAAATGTACTGTTGGCTTCTGGGATCCCTGGGCTGAATGACTCTCATCTTGGTAGGCATCCTTCAGTCTAGGGTAACGTGCTCCGAATAGAGGACTTGGAACAGCGCCTAGTGTGGCTGAGGAGGCCAATTTGAGAGTGACCACAATCCCTTCCACACTGAAGACCAATACAGTCTGTCCCCTGTCCAGCTCCCTGGTTTTGCTGCTTTCATGACTGCCTCTTGGCCTCAACCTGGTGGACAAGGGTCTCTTATTCAAAATGGGAGAGGCCCTGATGCACCGCCTGCCTCCAGGCTGAACGCTCAGAGGTCAAGGTTTCCCACCTGTTGAGGTCCATTCCTAAGGCCTTCAGATCCCACTTGCAGATCTCCTTGTATCACAGCTGTGGTCTCCCTCTGGGGCGATTTCCCTGCACTAATTCTCCATACAGGAGACCTTTTGGAATCTGATCCTCCATACAGGAGATCTTTTGGAATCCAATCCTCGGCCATTCCCACAACATGCCCGAGCCGCTCGTGCCGGGACCAACATAGACGTTGCTGTTTCAGTAATGATTCTCATAGAAATCACAGAAGAGTGATGTTGGAAGGGGCCTCCAAGGCCATCCAGTCCAACCCCCTGTTCAGTGCAGGAATACCATCAAAGGAGAGCTGCCAGGTGATTATCTAAGTTTTTCTTGAATGCCTCCAGTGTTGGAGCCTTCACCCGCTCCCGAGGTCACCGGTTCCACTGTCGTACTGCTCTAATAGTTAGGAAGTTTTTCATGATAGGACTCTCCTAATGGCAGTGCTCCCTTCTCCTTCAAATGTAATTCAATGGCCTTGAACCCTACATACGCTTTTTCCTTCCCATGCTAAAAGGTGGAAACGCCTCTCCCGATGCTCATTTCCTGACAATAACTCATTTAAGCTAAAATGCCCTGCCCTTTTTGGGTCCCCTCCCTTTCAGCTTTATTCCCACTCCTTATCTGTGGCCTCTGGGAATTTCTTTGGAATTGAACGTGGCCCCCAGGGTGCAAAGGGTCCCTCACCCTCATTTTGGGACAAGATAAATGATCTCCGGAGATCCAGAAACCACCAAAAAAAAAACATCTGGGGAGGTTTATACCACCACTAGCCAAAACTCTTATGGGTTGGGTTTTTACAGAAAGATCACATGCTGTCGTGGCCCAAAAATATATTTTCCCCCAAAAATGGAAACAAACTTGAGGATGAGGGCTACGAGGTAACAGCTTCCTGAGATATGTTACTTTGACAGAAACACTGAGAGTTTCCACCCGCGGATCGTCCGCATGCCACTGTGCCTTCCTTCTAAGCCGCTCGCGCCGGGGACTCACCTTGGAGGGGTCTGGAGGCATGACGGCCTCGACGGTGAAGGGGCTGCCCGGGACAGGGTGCCCGTCGTAAGTGACGTCCACCTTGTAGGGCCCTTCCTCCGGCGGCATGTACTTCACCGAGTGGAGGTGGCTGCTGGCGCCCGTCTCCACCTTGCAGGGGATCGGGCGGCGGGAGGGTGAGCTGATCTTCACATCTACCTGGCCTTGACCCCCGGCTCCCTTCGTGTTGATGGTAAATTCCTGGTCACGACCCACGTCCACCTCTGTGGGGAAGACGGAGAATGAAGAGGGAAACATGAAGGTCGGCCCGTCCTGTCGGGAGGAAACCTCCCCAGCCCGCCTTGGTCACAGAATACAACAACTTGGGTCTGAAACCAGTAACCCACAGAGAGTTCTGTGGCCTAGGGTCAAAGGATGATTAGGCAGGATCCATGGCCACGGAATTTTGAGGCAGTTCTTAGGTGAGATGGTTGGAGGTTTTTTTACAACCTCGCATGCTGCTTGGAGAAAGTGTGGTTGGGAGGAACTGTCAGTCTATCATCACTAGCCAATTATTTTCTTCCCTGTCTCTGAACTCAAAGAGAGCCCCGCCTTCCTGCTCAGGGCTTTTTCCCTCTCTGTGGTGGAAGGCAGTCATGTATGTCAGTGGGCTGTTTGATTTGTTCAATTGCAAAGAATGAAACTTTTTATCCTTGCTTCTACTAATGCTTCAGAGTGAGTTATGGAGACTCTAAGTGAGAGCTTCGTGCGAAAAGAGGTGGACTCATCTCTTCTGCTCTGCGCATCCCTTCCACTGCTGCTGCACAGCTCGAGGTATTTAACCAGAAAATCCAAAACTCTACAAGAGAGATGGCCTTTTGGAAACGTCAGATAAAAGAATGGATGATACGTTCAGGTGGTGAATGCCTGTAAGAGTTAGAGGCACAATTCCTATGGAAGACCTCGACTAGTTGTACCGAAGGAAACTCAAACTAACAAGCAGACACTTAGTCCAGAGCCTGCAAAAAAAGAAGCTAGAGCTGACGATGCATGACTTGCGTTCACCTTCGAAGCTTGATCAAATCCACGTTTACCCAGCAGTAAACGCCACTGAGTTCAAGGAGGCCTGCTTTTGAGCAGACGTACCTTCGACTAGAGCATCAACAACTGATTGGTTTCTATCGTGCCCTTACGAGGGAAGGTCTTTTGAATGAACACAAATGTTAAAAGTCCCCACCACCACCCCAGGGCACATAAACAGGACAAGTGGAAAAGATTTGGAGGAGATTCCATCTCATTTGAGATTTCACAAATTTGCTTTGGTGCTGGAGCACCAGAAAATCCGTCGGCTTCACCGTCCCCATCCAGGCAGAGGGCGGGCAGGTTTTCCCAGTGCCTGGTCATGGCCTCCAGCTTTGGCCCGCTCCCTCCCTGACCCCTTCCACTCCCCTTCCCCCTACTTACTGTTGTTGAGTCCTTGCACTTTGACCTTGCTGAGGTCCAGGGGGGGCGCCACGTTCACTGGGAAAGGGCTCTTGGGAATGGGGTCTCCTCCGTAGGTCACAGTCACTGCCATGTTCCCCTAGGTGGGGACAAGGGGGGGGGAAGCAGGTCAAGGCCAGGCGCAAACCATACATCTGTGTTTTTGTGTGTGTGCATGTATCCCCTTCCTAACACAGGATTGCATGTCTCAAGGTTGCCAGGTGTCTCCAAAGTGGTCCATGAAAACCTTTCCCAGGCTTCGGGGGGCGGGGAGAGATTAGAAGACCCATTATTTATCTTTTCCCAAGTGGAAAATGGAAGTCCGCTATGGAAATCTTTGGACTTGGGATGCAGCATCTCTGAAGCATGATGTTCTGCTACATCCGAACCCATCTTCTGTGTTCTTCACCCTACCAATGCTGCCGATTTGTCTGTCTGTTCTGTGTTTTTGTGTGTGTGCATGTATCCCCTTCCTAACACAGGATTGCATGTCTCAAGGTTGCCAGGTGTGTCCAAAATGGTCCATGAAAACCTTTCCCAGGCTTCAGGAGGGGGGGGGGAGAGATTAGAAGACCCATTATTTATCTTTTCCCAAGTGGAAAATGGAAGTCCGCTATGGAAATCTTTGGACTTGGGATGCAGCATCTCTGAAGCATGATGTTCTGCTACATCCGAACCCATCTTCTGTGTTCTTCACCCTACCAATGCTGCCGATTTGTCTGACCGTTTTCCTCTTCCTTTTAACTCACAATGATCAGCTGTAACTATCTCTACCTTTCTCACTGGCTGTAGGTTAAGGGATTCTGGTTGCCAGAAGGCTGGTTAAGGAAGCTTTAAATTCAGGTGCCCTAAAGTGCCCCTGGATGCTTCTGCTAGGTGTCCAGGGTGGGAGGGCAGGACCCGGAAGGAAGGGAGGGAGCCCGGATCCCTCTCACCTGTTGCACGGCGGTGTATTTGACGGTGTACGAGTAGTCGTGGTTGTCTATGATCTCAAAATCCCGCACCACCTCACCCTTGATGGCCCCAGCGAAGTGGACGTCCAGCTTGGCTTTGCCGGCCCCCTTGGTGAAGACGGTGAAGTGGGTGGGCTTCCCAACCTCCACGCCTGGGGAAGAAAGGTCGCCATGAGGCCGGGCAGCTGGGTTGCCTGGTGCCGACCCTCGCCCCATGGGAAACCTTGACCCTCACTCACCTGTCCGGTTGAGTCCCGGTCCCTCTGCCTTCACTTTACTGGCATCGTGGGAAGGATCCACCTTGATGTGGAAGGGGCTGATGGGGATCTCCTGAGGAAGCAAAAGAAGGAAGCCGGCTGAGTGGACATGATCCAAGAGCACCGGGCATCTGATTCTGCTCCCGCCCTTTGGCCTGCATCTCCAGGAACAGGTGACACCGTTTTCTCCCTCCGAGCCCTCTTTCTAGAGCTCACTTTTAAAAATGAGAGCTGCCGAAGCTTAGGGTGGCTCACGGGTTCAGGAGGAGGAGACTGTGACCCCAAAATCTTCTTGCAGAAGATGATGGTCGGCGCCTCCATCAGAACTTGGAAAAAGTTTCTTTTGTTGACTGCCTCTCAGTTAGCCAACACGTTGGCTGGGCTATTCTGGGAATCGTGGTCCTAAAACCTAACCTGCCTCTGGTTTCCAGCACTCAAGATTATCCTTGCCCACTGGATAGGTCAAAGGCTACTGGCAGGGCTGTTCCTTTCCCTCTGCTTTCCCAGCATCCTCTGCTCCCTGACAGCCCCGTCACTTCCTGCCACTTACCTGGTTGGCGAAGAGCACCATGATCGTGTAACGCCCGGGGCCAGGTGGGGTGTACTTCACTGTGAAGGTGTCGTTGTCGTTCTTGATGATGTCGAAATCGATGTCGGCCTCTACCGGCCCCACCACGCCTGGGGCACACTTGATGCCAATGCTCACGTCCCCTGAAAAAGAGCCAGGGGGGCACCTCTGTGAGTGGGACCTGCCAGAGGTGGGAAGCCCCGACTTCCCCCTACAAGCTTGTCTCTATGACATTTGGGCCCCACTCTCTCACTCTCCTGGAAATTAGAGCCATGAAGGATGAAAGAGGAGGGAACCAGTCAGCCAGCGATGGGCCTCCTCCAGGGCTGACAGCTAAGCAAGCAAGAGCGGCCACAATTCAACCTACACCTTGTGTCGGTTTGCTGATGCCGAGTCCTCTCCATCAGCTATCCAAGGGATCTCATCCCCTCCCCTTCCCCAGCATAGATGTTTCTCCCCCATACACACCTTGGCCAGCTTCGCTGCAATCCACTGTGAAGTAAGTGGGCTCATTGGCTTTCAGCCCCGTCTTCTCGACTCCAGGACCGTACACCTTGACTTTGTCAGGGTGGCTTCCTTCTCCCACAATCACCTGCCAAGGAGGAAGAAGGTGGCATTCAAGTTCAGGATTCGGGGGGAGGCATAGAACGGATCTTCCCATTGTGACAGGAGGGGAGAGACAGGGATCTGGTGGCAGCGGTAGGATCTGTGAAGCACAGCTTCACGTGGCGCAACACCTTCTTAGGGAACTCACGGCCACCAGAGACAACAGCTGTAACTGATTTGAGGAGGTTTTAGGTGGGATTCAACATGCCAGAGGAAGATCAGTCCATAACTTTGAGATATAATAGCTGTACATCTCCCTCATCAGAACAATGCTAGCCTAACTCTGCCTCCATGATCCAGTTGCAACCTTTTTTCTTGAAATGTCTAACTAGATTCTCGTTCAACCTTCCCCCACCCAGAGGCCCTTCTAGATGAGTTGGGTCACATCATCCCCAGGGATGATGGGAACTTTAATCAAGCCCAGGTGGAAGGGGCTGGGTAGGGAAATAGGCTGAGTGAACTGGTCATTTTTGAAAACAGGATGCTGGGACACAGAGATACCTGATGTTATCCTATTACTTCTTTTCTGGTGCTCTCCAGTAAAGAAACTTCTCCTAGCCTTAAATCATTCACGCACAAAGCAGATGCTCTCTTCACTGACAGTGTCCCTTGCCCAACCTCTGTCATGTGGCTAATACATGAAAAAAAAAGAGTGTGGGGTGGTGGTTGGGGGACCCCAAGAAAGGACCCTTGAGTCTACTCACCCGGAAGGGGCTCTTGGGGATGTTGACACCTCCCCAGCTGATGATGATGGTGTGTTTGATGGGCTTGGTGGGGACGTAGACACAGGAGAAGGTACCATCGCCGTTATCCTTGACCTTGATGTCAATGGGGACGCCTTCTGCATCCTGGAAAAGAGAGTCGTTAAGAGAGAAGTGCCTTTCGAAGGCACCATGGCTTGATCCCCTTCCAGGTCTGGCCAAGGGGAAGCTGAGCTTCAGAAGGCCAGCGACCATTTCTCTGGCCTGTGGACCCTTCCAAGGGAGGCATCAACGCTTCCACTGTAATCATTCTATTTTAAAAAAAATCACATCCAGGTTTTTTTTGCAGAGCAGATGTTCTGTGATCAACACAATGTGGTTGAGTTCTTTTAAAGTTTAACTGAACTACATGGACAGGATCTCCTGTTTTGGAAGGGGGGCTTTGCTGGGGATGGAATTTTTGCCCTCCATACCTTTGCCCCATTTCATCCGACTTATTCGAGGACTGGGGGTGGGGGAGAGAAGCCAGGAGCTTCTGGCCAAATGTAGGATTATGGATTCTCCTTCAACCCACTTCAACCTCCAGTTCATGCCACGAAGGTTCATTCCAGTGAGCTTTTCACATGGTTTTTCAACTGTTTATAAATCACTAGCCCTTCTCGCCTTGCCCTACATTGAGTAGTCTTCCGACATTTTAATTTGTCGTGCTTTTATTTCCATCGTTTTTTAAAACCATTTTTGGAGCGGCTTCATCTCTCTAAACAAAGCAGAACAAAAGAAAGCAAAATGGGAGCGCCATGCTCTTGCCCCACAAGGCAGATCCTGAGACCCTGGTAGAGTTCCCCTCCCTTCCTCTCGGCCACGTGGACAAGCCCAAAGCCTTGGAAGGGGGCCTCCTTTGGGGAGGACTGGCGGGGAAGGGAGAGCCCAGGGACCAAAGGAGGTTGGTGGGAAACCAAGGTAAAAGACGGAGCGGATACAGCAGAAGGTCCATGGCTACCCACCTGGGCGTAGATCTTGAGCGCCGCCTTGCCAGCTCCTCTGGCATCGATGGTGAATTCAGCTGGTTTGTTCACAATACAGCCCGTTGGCTCTAGGCCGGGGCCGAAAGCCTTGACCTGGAAGAGAGAGAGATGAAGGAAGATGGTGGAGTCAGGGCGAAAAAGAGCTGAGAAACAGTTCCTTTGCTTAGATCAGCAATTCCCAACCTTGAGTCTCCAGCTGTCCTTGGGCTACGACTCCCAGAAATCCCGGTCAGCACCGCTCGGGGCAAAGGCTTCTGGGAATTTTAGTCCAAGAACATTTGGGGACCCCAGGTTGGGAACCACTGGCTTGGAGGTCTTCTCCTCAAAGCACCCAGCGGGCATAACCCTCCTGACTGGGGAGTTTCCAGGAGTTGTAAAGCTTTTCTGGAGTCCAGTTTTGGACTACACTTCAGCCTCCTCAATTCTGGCCCTGCAGGAGAAGGACAGAGAGCTCGGATGACCCAGGCCGGGATGAAAGAGGCAGGGGATACGAGGCTCAGCCATACTACGAGCGAGAAGGATCTTGGAATGGTCGTAGATCACATGCTGAATGTGAGCCAACCGTGTGAGGTGGATGCAAAAAAGGCCAATGTGATTTTAGGCTGCATTAATAGGAATACAGTCCCCCAAATTCCATGAGGTACTAGTCTCCCTCTATTCAGCACTGGTAAGGCCTCCTTTTGAGTCCTGTGTCCAGTTCTGGACACTACACTTCAAGAAGGATGCTGACCAATTGGAGCCAGTTCAGAGGAGGGCGACAAAGAGGATCAGGGGAATGGAAACCAAGCCCCAGGAGAAAGATGGAAAGAACTGTGCCTATCTCCTTTGTTTATGTCAGGAAGCCAGATTTCAGCTGAGTATCAGGAAAAACTTCCTAACGGTTAGAGCAGTACGACAGTGGAACCTGTGATCTCAAGCGGAGGTGGTGAGCGCTCCAACCCTGGGGGCCTTCAAGGGTAAAATGGACCGCCCTCTGTCAGATCTGCTTGGATTTGGATTCCTGCATCCAGCAGGGGGTTGGACTGGATGGCCTTTGAGGCCCCTTC